TGATTGGTAGAAATGTTTTCAAAAATTATGAACTGAGAACTTTTAATTTTTTAAATAGTTTCAATTTTTTTCCTTCCATAATTCGAAAAGTATTCCTGTTTACTCTAAAACATCGTCACAACATACAACTGCAGTAATCTCAAATATCCCTCAAAAAATTCATAGCGATATGAATTGTTTGTTTCTTAGAAAAGGTACATCGAAAAAAATCAGTTTTAGCATTATTGATATATGTCCTCCACTTAACAGTTTTAACTTATTGAAAGATGAAGCCTCTCAGAGATTATTCTTGATTAATTAAACTGATACTTTAATAAGTCAGAGCTCTTCTGAATTCGTTCACGACCCAAGTTGATTCTAGGAAAAAAAGGTACCGGTAAAAAAGGTACCTGTGTAGGGAAAATTCCGTAGGGGAAAATATTTGAAATGAGAATATTAGATTGAAGCGCTTTTTGCTGTTCAGTGCATGTTTTTTTTTTTTTTCGTGTCGCGCGTTTTCAGCTAATTAAAAAGGACCAATACTTTCACCTCCAATCACGAATAAACATCCAACACATAAATCCTCCCAACTTCCCCGATTGGCTACCTCACATTAGCAACTTGTTCACAAAATGTAATTTAAAATAGAAAATAACACATTTTTCACTTAGAAAAATTACAAAAAAAAAGTAAAACATTATTGAAAAATTTATATAGTATCTTCCCGCTTTAAAAAATAATCAAAGAAGAATAAATAAATGAAATAAAATTTTAAAAGAAAAGCGTAATACAACCAGCCCATAAGTCCCCCCCCTTACCCTTCTCCTTACCTCAATGATCTAATCTGAATTATTACACATAAAAAGAATATTCATTGAAACAGCAAGAAGCATTCATGCTGCCCAGAAAGCGAGAGGGGAAATATCCCTACAGATTTTCCCTATGGAGGTACCTTTTTTACCGGGACCTTTTTTTCCAGGAACCTTTTTACCGGGACCTTTTTTTCCGCCTACCGAATTAGTTACATTTTTGAAGTAGCAAGAAAAAAATTTGGTAATTTTTTCTTAATAATAATTATTAAAAAATATCTATATCCACTCAAATAATTTTTAAATAACCTTTGGACGTTTAATTTAAATTATGGCCAACGAAGGGCTTTTTTTTCTGATATCCCCCCCCGGGGGGATATCAGAAAAAAAGATTCACGAAAAAAAGATTCAAGAAAAAAAGATTCACGATCAGAAGATTCACGTAAGTCAGAACTCTCCTAAATTCGTTCACGACCTAGAGGCTGATCCATTAGTTACATTTTTGAAGTAGCAAGAATTTTTTTTTTTTTATAATATTCATTATTTACGATTTATAGTTTTGTACAGAATATCTTTACCCAATATAGGGTGAAAATTGAGAAATTTAACCGGGAAATTTGAACTATCGTAAGAAGTACTATGTAAATATTTTGAGCAACACATAGATACATTACCTTATATGTTTCCCATTCCTCTGTAAACCTGGAATCACTAACAATAATATTTAGAATCGACAAAAATATTAAAAGTTTGACAAAAAATTGATTCATTTTATGTAAATTCAGAAATCAGTTATATTCAACAAATTATTGCTACATCGAAGTCAAAATCGAGTTTTACGCATGAGTTTATATACTATGCATTAAACATAATATTTTACTGCTCATTTAAGCTTTTTGAATTCTTAGATAAATGTGTCTATAACGATTGTTACGAGTAAATAATGGATTCTTTCGTAATCAATTACAGTTCAATTCAAAATTGGATTAAGTTTAATCACAAAGAAGAAGAAAAAAATTATCTGCTTATTTTTTTTAACATTTATTTTTTAAGAAAAAGTAGAGCTTGCGAAATCGATTCGTGCAATTTATAACTAGTAATTCGCTTTTTCCATGTAATGATATTCGTTGCGAATTTTAAACCAGCTTAAGAGTGAGTAGAGTGTATATAAAGTTGTTGCTAATTTATCTTTTTTTTTTAAAAATCATAAAATAAAATTTAAAATATAAAACAGAATATTTCGCTAAATTTCAAAACAGTTAAATATATTTAGCCCACAGTTTTAAAGCTGGTTTGATCTTAGATAATGCCTCATCTATAAATTTTCTAGAGAAATATACTTTTTTTATACATTATATTATACCAGTTTTGTCCGAAAAGTAAGTTTTTTAACATCTTAAAAAAAATTCTTCTGTAAGTTGTGAGTGAATAAAAATACATTTTTTAATCCGATTTTGAAATAGTCGACACCTGTTTCGATACATCGTAATATGAAATAATTTCGTAAAAAATTAACTGCTGCTGAAAATATTAGGTAAAATAAATAACAATTAATACATCATTAAAAAATAATAATAAAGTGATAGAAATAATGCAGGTATGCCACTTAGTTTATGAAAAAAGATTGAGAAGTAACACAGGCCTGCATGCAATAACTAATTTTTTTCATATTGCAAACAATCTCCCTTCCCAAAAGTGTGATGTCATTTTCGACTAATAGCATAATCCGGCCACTTTGAAATTTAATCGTTCGTCGCCTAACAATAATACTAATTCCTAATAAAAAGTTTGGTTTATTCTTTGTAGAAAGAAGACACAACCTAAGTTTCAATAAATCCGCTTCCGCCTTTTTGATTTTGCGTACATAGAAATCGTCTTTAATAAAAGCACACTTCTGAGCAATTTCAAATTGTGGTTTATCGGTTTGTTTACTACCACACAAACCTTCCCATTGTCAAATAATACATTAGGAAGTCCGTTAACATATCTATATATATATTTCTCTTACACGGCGATAAAAAAAAACTCTCCGAATGGCAAAGCTAGAAAATCAACCAATAATTGCCGCTAAAAATGTCACATGCCAAATCTAGATTGGGTGGCTCAACATATAGCGCTTCTAAAAACGGAAACGGAAATAACCAGAGTGTAAAATATTATGTGCTTATGCGCATCGTATTTTTTGTTAAATAATTTATTTATTATATATCAGTTTATAGATGGTAACGAGAAGAGTTTTGTGGTTGCTATGGTGACTAATTAGAAGGTAAATTGTTTTTTTGAGTGAGTGTGAGATTTGTTTTTTGGAACTGCGATGCTGTAATTTTATTGTTTAGTTAATAAATCTTCCTTTTATATTAAACGTGATAGTAGTTTCCTTAATTATTTGATTCGAAGTCCTTGGAGTTTTATTTGAGGTCAGTTTATTTTGTATTTTTTGACAAGAGAGAGCATTCTCACCAAACGAGATTTCTTCCGAAATTCAATGTTTTGTTTATGCAGGGTTTTTCCATTGCAATTTCTCTTATTTAAATTTTTAATAGACTTAATTATAGCCAAAATTTTAACCTTTTTAAAGAGATATCAGTTTTAGAAATNGTCCTTCTCATATTCGCCCTTTTAACGTTCGCATGCGATCACTTATTGAAAATTTGTCTATTTGTGATTTGCCATCACAATCAGTTGAGCATTTGCTTATTTCACCATGGACCATCTCACAATACCAGTTTGATTGTCAGTTTGTTGCTTATAATAAGGCTCAAGTGTCTCCTATTATATTTCAGCAACTTTTCACTTCCCATCGTCATCAGTTTTCTCAATACGCCCCTGTATTTACAGATGGCTCAAAATCTCCAGGACATGTCGGTTGTGGCGTCGTCATTGCTGATGCCACGTACAATTTTAAAATCCCAGATATTTGTTCAATTTTCACTGCCGAAGCTGTAGCTATTCTTTTAGCTCTGCGATTGATCTCATCACTGCCTACTCGAAAATATTGCATTTATTCAGATAGTTTGAGCGTGTTGCGCCAATTGGGACATTTCGAAGAATCGACTCACCCAATTTTAAATTTTATACATCATCTGTTAAATTCTTTTCATAAAAATGGGTTTGATATTTTATTTTGTTGGGTCCCAAGTCATGTCGGAATTCCGGGCAATGACTTGGCCGATGTTGCCGCACGATCTGCTACAAACCCTTTCTCTCTGTCTATACCATACCAAGATATAAAAACACACGTACGACAGCTTACAAAGTCTCTATGGTTGCAGCAGTGGGATCTCCAAATTAATAATAAATTGCGCGCTATAAAAATTGATTTAGATCCATTGCCTGTGCTACGTAATCGTAGGGCAGACGTCAAACTTACTCGTCTTCGAATTGGCCACACTCGATTGACCCACCTTCACTTGCTGTTTGATGAACCCTCTCCTCACTGCAATACTTGCAACGTTTTACTCACAATCCATCACATTTTAATTTATTGCCCATGTTTCCGTCATCGTTTAACCTTTTTTGGTTCCTGTGACAATTTTATGGTAGTTCCATTTTAACACTGCAGGATTTGTTAGGTGACTGCCATCATCCTAACATTTTTGCGTTTCTACGCGCAGTTGGTCTCTTATACTGTATATAACTGTTTTTATCCTATTTAGAATTTTATGTGATTTTATTCAGCTTTGAATGTAACTGTTTTATGATACTTAACTACATTTAAATTTTATCTTGTTTTACTCACTCTTGAATGCGTTGGTTTCGTTGTATTCAGTTTTATAAATTCCGTGTGATTTTGATGGGAAAAACTTGTAGTATACATCTAAGTAGGATTTTATTTTAAAACCGTTTGTTTGGCGCAGCATGTCCTTCTGTGGACTTTGTGCCATTAAACCCAACATTCAATTCAATTCAATAAAAACTGCGAACAGTTTTTGGTGGATGAATTTCTACACAGTTTTTGTTTCACAATGCTACAGCATAATCCGCGTGAATAAATTTTTGAGCAATACTCCTTGCAACTAAAAGTGTGACCTGAATAACTTATCCTTTTATAAAATAGTACGTTGGATAATATTACTTTTTTAAATGCTTTTTCTTATGGTCGAAACAAAATTTGATATATTGGTTTTCCAAATAACGTGCATCCATGTCTTGTTTGGTTACAGCTTTGTTTGTTTGCATCTCATCAACAAATTTTAATACCTGATGGTTTCTTATCTCTTATTTAGATATGAGAACTGCTAGTAGTGATTTACTGGTGTAACCTGAAGTAATTCGCAGAGGTAAACTCTTTGTACCGTGATGTAGGTCTTTTAGTTTTCCAATGCTATCTTCAAACATGAATTGTCCCACTGAGGACCCCAAGCCAGTATCAGGCAGGTGCAGTAAAAGATGAATGTTATACGATTGTTCTGTTGCACCATAAATATTTTTCACATTTGACACAAATCTTCTTAAACAATCATCTGCTTTCGTGATGTCATTAGCTGTGATATTTGTGTCCAAGAGTTATGGCATGAACAAAGTGAAGCCAATGCTTTTATATAACATTGTTCAAAAGATTTTTTAGAAGTACTGGCTATGGTAAAAAGAATTTTCGCCGTTTTGAAGCTTTCCAGAAGGAACTATCTTTAGTCTTACGTAATCTACGTGAAGATTCATGTGGGAGTTTCAGATCTTTTTTACGTGCATCTAGTATTCGAATAGAATACTGATAGCCACTTATAGAATACTGATAGCCTGAACTCTCGATGAAAAGACACACGAGTTGATGTGTTACACCACGAAGCACACAGTGCATATAGTCCGGAATAAAGCCTTCTACCATGTTAAAAGTTGGGATATAAGTTCATTGGTAGAATGGTAGAAATAACTAGAACCTGGGTACACAGCCGCGAAGCGGCTTTAACCCATTCATCGAATTTGTAAGTTAGATGTTCGGGGTGGGTAGGAGGGAAGAATTGGGTGGGGGGGTGCATAGCACAAGTAAAGCGGCCAGGAGAACATGAAAAAATTTAAATAGTCAGTCATAAGTTAATGCTAGACAGTAATAAGGTAGTACGAAAATGTAATGAGCACGATAAAGAAAACAGGTTAATAATAATAAAAGCGCAATTATAAAAGTACTTGATTATATAAGTTATTTACATATATACAAAAACAAGGTAATTCGCAAAGATAAAATTATCGCGTGTTAATTAATTGCATGACGTAAGAGTGCAATCGTAATAATAATTCTAGAGTAAAGTACATGAGTGAAATAACTAAGTACGGGCATGAGAAGTAAAATGGAATGAATAACGATAATAAAAGTAATAAAGATATTTACAATAGGATTGTCAGGGTAATAGGAAATCACACGCTAATAATCCCGCTACAAGAGCAGTACACATGAATTTGAGTAGGGAGAAAATAGTATTCAGGAAGTAGTGACCCAGGCGTCCTGGTAAAACCACTCGTTTTCTGGGTTGCTCACTACACTAAGTTTAAGTATTGCATTTTCCTAGGAGACGACCCCCGGGGGAGTTGCTCGACTCTTCGGTCCATGTAATATTTGTGAAATGCTGCGTAAAACATTAACATGTTGGGCTGGAGTAATGTTAAAATTTTTAGTAGTTGAAAATTTAAAAAAGGGTTGCGTCCTTAAGAAAAAAAGCTGTGATAGGGCTGAAATTTGCGTTGTCTTCAATAAGGTCGATATCTAATAGTGCTTTAAAATTACTAGTAGTACATGTTTGTGCATCCTTATAAAAGTTTTTGCTTAGGGTATGAATGAATTCGTTTATGTCTTCAATTTTTAGATCTTTTTTGATACTTCTATTGCTTATGCACCTGGGTGCGCCTAAAAGCCCTCTGAGGAATTTTCCTTCAGCTGAGGAGAGTTTTTGTTTCTGATTATTGCTCAGGATTGTAATGACTGGGCAAGTATAAGTGAGGATTGGCCTAATAGCCATGAGATAGATTGTTCTTTTGCATTTAATATCAAGTGAGGATTTATAGTTCAAAATAGAATTTAGGGCCCAAAATGCGCCATTCGCTTTCTTTATGATATTGTTTATATGAAGATTCCATTTAAGTGATGGGGCGATGGTTACGCCGAGATATTTTGCTGAAGTGGATGGTTTAATGGTTTGTTGATAGAGAGTGATCTCAGGGATTTTCTTTACTTTTTTGTTTCTATTAAAAACGAGTAGTTGGCATTTATCTGGGTGGAGTTTGATTTTCCACAGGGAGCACTATATCTCTAATTTTATTGTTCATTTAGGTGAAAGCTTGTTTGTGGCTAATTGACTTGGTAATGACCGCGGTATCGTCGGCATATAGTGCGGTGAATTCATTCGTGTTATTGTTGTCCATAGGGAAGTCGGCCGTGTAAAGGATATAAAGTAGTGGCCCAAGGATGCTGCCCTGCGGCACTCCGGCGTTTATATTTTTGTAGTCAGAGTAGGATTTTTCAAACTTGATTCTGAACATTCTGTTTGTGATAAAGGAGTTAATGAGTATGATGAGATCGAGAGAGATGTTCATTCGGTGAAGTTTGACAATTTGTCCTTTATGCCATACTCGGTCGAAGGCCTTGGCCACGTCGAGCATGAGCATAAGGGCTGTTTCTCGTTTGAATTTGACTTTGCTTATAAATTCGAGGATATTGACTAGTTGCTTAGTCGTTGATAAATGTTTCCTAAAACCATATTGTTGGTCAGGTAGGAGGTGGTTATAGGCATATAATCTTTCTGAATGATTTTTTCAAAAACCTTAGAGAGGGTGGGTAGGAGACTTATCGGTCTGTAGTTTTCTGGATTTGAGGCTGATTTTCCTGGTTTTGGGATAAGGATTACGTCCGATTTTTTCCATTCGGCTGGGAAGTAGAGATTTTTGATAGAGGCGTTATAGATGTTTATGAGCTGTGAGGTTTTATTTTTTGATAGTTTCTTGACCATCATGTTAGAGATGTTATTGTGTCCCGGTGCCTTCTTATTTGGGAGGATTTTGATGATACTTGTCAACTCTTCTTCTGAGGTCAACTCTATATTGTTTTCAGTGTTACTTTGGTCCAAAATATGGTCGTAACAGTTATTAATATCATTTTCATTGTTGAAGCAAATATTTTCGTTATTATTACTGAATTGGTTTTTCATTTTATTAGCGAAAATCGAGGTTTTATCATCAGATGTGTATGCAATACTGTTTGGCCCTTTTAAGGGCAATTTATTCAAGGGAGAATTTTTTTAGCGCCTTGATTTTCCAGATAGAGTTGTCTGTGGTGTTTAGATTTTATAGTTTTTCGTTCCAAAGTTGATTTCTGTGATTATTACATTTTTTTTGATGATTTTATTTAGTCTGTTGATGTTGGTTTTGAGGGCTGGATTGAAACTTCGTTGTAGTATTTTCCTTAGCTTGTTCTTTTCCTTAATGATGTTCCTGATATCCCCTGGTAGTTTAAAATTATTCAGATTAGTGGGGGTGAGTACTGTTGCCTCGTTAAATGCATAGTTCATTACAGTAGTTAGTTTCTCAATAGAGGAGTCAATATCTTCGTTAGTATAGGGAATTGAATCATCGTTGGAGTCTGTCAGGTGAAGGATATTATGGTAGAGGGTCCAATCGGTTTTTCTTCTGTATTGGTCATTTGAAAGCTTATTTAAGTTTGTGGTTATCAGGACCGGGTAATGGTCGCTGCTAAGTTCATTTAAGGTTTCCATGGCGAATGGTGAGCTCATGTTAGTGATTAAGAAGTCTAGGATATCTGGTGGATGAGTACCGCTGCGGTGGAAGAATGTTGGTTGTTCGGGGGTGAAAACCGTTGAGCCATATTCTTTAACTAGTTCACGAAGTTGCCTGCCGAGTTTATTTGTTTTTCTGCACCCCCAGATCTCATGTTTGGAATTAAAATCTCCTAGAGCAATAGTTGGGAGGTTGACTGGGAATAGGTTTTCCATGAACTTATTTGAAATGGTGGATTGTAGATGCAGGAAAGTTTTATTTTATTATTATTTATTTGCAGTATGATAGAAGTTTCTTCTCTATTTTCTGAGGTACTAATGTTACATATTGAAGCATTGTATTTTTTGTGGATGAACCCGCCGCCTGTACGTACGATCCTATCACATTTGAAGGTGTTGTAGTTGGGTACTTTGAGTCGATTACTTGGCTTAGTGTGCTTTTCAGTAACTGCGATGATGTCGGGGTTATAATTTGCGATGAAATCTAAGAATTCTGCGAACTTGAGAAGTAAATTTTTCGCATTCCAAAGAGCTATGGTTAGGGGGGTAGAGGAGTAATTTCTATTCATAGCAGAGGTTGTTGGTTTCTTGGTTGTTTAAGAGCTGTTGTTGAAAGATATTTATACATTTAGCGAAGTTATTGCTGGCTTCAATTGCCTGTTGTAGCAGTAATGCTGGATTTAGATTTACAGTTGCTATATTGTTATGGTTTTGAACGGCATTAGCGTAGCTCATTCCTGATCTGGTGGTATTGTTGTTGTAGTTTCTTCTGTTATTGTTGTTGAATGATTTTCTTTTATCGAATTTATTGTGCATCTTATCGAGAACTTTTTCATATGCAGGACATCCTGAATAGTTTGCGGGGTGCTCGCCCCCACAGTTACAGCATTTAGCTGGTTCGTTTTGTTCTTTTGTGCATTCACTAGTGTTATGGGTGCCCGCACACTTCACGCACCGAGGGGGGTGGTTGCAGAGCCGCTGGCCATGGAAGAAATCCTGGCAGCGGGGACACTGCGAAGGGCGGTCAGACTTACGATACTCTTCAATTTTTACGGTCATCCTGAATAGGAAACGGATACCATATATTTCTTTGCATTTTTCGCTGTTTTTATTAAGGGTCACAACGAATGTGGGCATTGGTGTTTTGTTGCCGTTGTTCCTTCAGAACATTTGTGTGACATTTTCCACTGGTATGCCTTCTTGCAAAATTCGCTGTTTTAGCATCATCTCCGGCAAAGGTTTTTGGGACTCCTTTTAGAACAACTCTGAAGGTGCGCTCATCGGGGACGCTGTAGGTGTGATAAGCTATATTTCTGTCTTTTAACAAGCCAACAATTGTGCATCGATCTGCTAGATGGTTGGTTTTTAGGGTGAAATAGTCACCATTGTTTTTTGCTGAATATTCAATGATGTTCTTTTCTTTCAGAAGTTCATGAAATTCTTTCCAATCAAAATTTTCGTCTTTAATGACGATGGGGGGGATTTTATTTGATTTTTTGTGTTGGGTGGTGAACCCGTTCTCTGGGTCGGGGGAAACGTTGTGGTTTTGGGCTGCCCTAGTGGGAGAAGGTGGGGTGTCCTTGAATCTTTTTGATTTTGAACTTGGGGAAATTATTATCTCTGCTATTTTGATTAAGAGTATCTGGGAACTCTGTATCCATAATGTTATCATAAGTTTTACTTTCATCTCCTAATATAAAAGAGTGGAATTGCTCTGGATGGTCCCTAGCATAGTTATCTAATTTGTTAGCAGTTGCATTTGATAATTCACTAAAAAGTCTGGATTCATTAACAATTTGATTTTTTAGTGCACGATGCTCTTGTTGGAAATTACAAAAACTAGTCTTAAGTTGGTCTAAATTTCCGTCTATTTTCTCGCCGTTATCGGCAAATGATGCGGCATTTTTTAATATTTGTAGTGTGTGGTGTATCACCATTTCGAACTGTGAAGTTATACCGTTCATAACGGAGAATTCGTTTTCGTGGTTTTCGTCTGTCGGAGAATCCGAGTCCAAAATTGTGCAGTCATTGTTGGACTGCGTTCGTTCTGTTTCACCATGCTTTCGCTTTTTTTTTTGTTTGCATTAGCGATAGTTAACCCTGGAATTATATTAGTGGGTTTGGGGGTCTCGTTATTATCGAGAATTTGAT